CAGTGTCTCATTATGTTGCCTAGGCTGGTCTGGAATTCCTGGCCTCAAGTGAGTTTCCCATTTTGGCCTCTCAAGTAATGGAATTATAGACATGTGCCATGGCACAAGCATGTTTTTTAAAACCCAAAAGAATATCAGCCCTGTTCTGTTTTCTTGATTGTCAAAGCATTTGGCACTGCTTTTGATGATCAAATTAAATATTTTCTCTCCAGGTTCTTGCCATTTAAAGACAAACTCTGAAAGCTCCTGGTTTCAAAATGGCCAGGGGGCTCTATTGACTGTCCAGTTGGAATGTTCTTGCTCTGTGGATACTGTGAGTCTGATGACTAACCATATTCCTTTCTTTACACTGGCTGCTAGGAAAGCCCAGAGTCAATTTGTAGCTCACTTCTAGGAATTGTACAGACTTATACTTAGTTTGGTAACTTTACTTCTGTTTTCATCTTACTTCCTGAGCATACTTTCCCTTCAACCCCATGTACTTAGCTATTTATTTTGTCGTATTGAATTAGATGTGTATACCAGCTGCCACAAGTCCTTTCAGAAGTGAAGAAGGGAATAATAAATAAACAAATAAAATGCAAATGGTAATGCTCTTGTTAGGAAGAGGCAGATCTGCTGGTTTTTGATGCAAAGCTACCTCCTCAGGATGCAATGCTTTTCTCCCTGACTCATGTAGAAAAAATACTAATGCCCAATCCAGGAAGTGCCTTTCAGCCTTCTCTCTGACACTGTCTTCTGGCCTCTTCACACAGTTGTGGTAGACACTTGCCTTCAATAGCACACTATCCTACCCAATCAAGGCTACGATTCTCTCCACTGGGTTACAAGCTCAACTCAGGACTCTAGGAGAGTGATGTCACTGCTGGGGTAGAGTGCTGCCACAGTTGTTCCAATTAATTTATTTGATTTATTTGCATGGTTATGAGAAGGGCTTTTGAAATCAATATGCAAATGTAATTTAAAACTTAAATCAATATTCTGAACCAAGAGCATGGGCATTTTTAACTGGAATGCAGGATAGCCTTAAATGGCTGAAATTATGGCTCTTTGTGACTGATGACTTGGTTCTCCATGGGGTTTTATTTGCAGATGCCAGGAACTTGGTTATTCCAACAGCTCTCTTGTTCAGAAAGCAAGGAGGCTGTGTAGGGTGTTCACGATTTCTTCACTTTCTTCCGGCTGCATGACTATTCAGAGGTTCTGTACAAATGGCTAAGGCAAACTCTCCATATTTAGCAACATTTACAACTCAGTCCATGAACTGTATACCCACTTTCCATCCTAGAATCCTAGTGCTGAAAATTATCTGGGTGAACATCTAATGCAGGCCTTTCATTTTATGAATAAATAAGCTTAAGGGACTTGTCCAGGATCCACATAGGGAATGAGTGGCAGAGTTTGGACTGGGATTCAATCCACCTCACAACTCTGACCAACCCAGAATCATATGCATAAAATTCAATTCTAGCCTCCTAAGACAAGCTTACCAGGGATTTCCTCCAGTCCTACTCTACTTCCAACCTACTTCATATATTCAAGGTACCTTCACGATACCGTCTATGCCCCAAACCATCTGAATACACAGCCTTCTGAACCCATAATTGAACATGAGGCCTAATTGAAGGCTCCCGTGGGCAACAGGAACTCTGTGTAGGTGAACCCAGCCTTGCCTCCTCTCTCGAGTCAGGGAATGCCTACATTCCGGCCAGATGGACACCTTGCTTATTAGCAAACCACTGTTGTCAGGAGTTGTTCCCAGCCTTGCACATTATCTCTTTCAGGGACCATCTCACATTTCCAGGGAGATTACATGATTTTCAAAAGCCTCCTTTAGAGACAGTCCCACCCTTGCAAATTGGGACACAGTACAAAGAACATTCAGGGAGTAAAGCCCAGCCCATGCAGCTCAGGGACTGTTGCCCTCCTTGTCTTCCTGAGACTGGAATTTCCTACAACACCTCACCCTTCCCCTTCCAGGTGCTCTGTGAGTTTAGGGAGAGGTGTTTGGTAAATTGACAGCATCTGGATCATATTAGAGATTTAAATGTCAGGCTAAAGATATTTTCTAGTCTTTTCCAGAGGGCTAAGATTTGAGTGCTCATCAATTCATCTCCTCCATAACTACTTGGATTTTACACTGTAAATGTTCACAGATTAGCTGTTTCTAATGCCTCTCCATCTCAAATGGTAGACAAAAGTGGAAGCGCTCAGGCCCCACCAAGCTGCCAAGAAGTCACGAGCTGTAGGCGTGTGACCCATTATTTGGATGTTCAAGATTATAGTAATGCTGGCTGGAGTTTATTTCACACATCCACCCTGCTGTCTCTGGCTCTGATACAGCCTACAGAAGGGAGGCAGAAGATTTCTTAAATGATGGTAAACAATGAGGTCACAGCCCAGAACAGCCCAGCCCTCCTGGCCCCAGCCAAGAAAACACATTCTTAATGGTTACAGGAGTCCTGTGATTTGCTCTAAATCAAGGAGTCATGGCTGGTAGGACCAACCAGACTGGGACTCACAAATTAGGAGATCCACTTAAGGGCAGTGGCTTGGAACTAAGAGTTCTCACATGAGTCCCCAGATCAGTACCCTAGGCTCTAAACTCTAGCACCTAATGCAGTACCTAGCACATAGTAGGTGGTCAATAACCCCAGGGGCCTTCCTCCCTGGGCTGTAATTCCAGAACCCAACACAACACCTGAAACGTAATTGGTAGTCAATAAATGTTGGGTGAATTATTGCATTCATAAATCAATATCTGGATGGATAGATGTATGGAAGGATAAATGGATGATTTGATGAATGTTGTTAAACCTCTACTTAAAACTGTCAAGTCAAAAAACTGGACTCAGCTCCTTGCAAGGCAATTCCTTTATGCATTGAACCCTTACTCTTATTGGCACAAAATTCTCCCATTGATTGAACCAAAATCTACCATACTGTACCTTGCCCTTGGCAGTTCTAGTTTTCGCCTATCTTTCTGCTCTTCCTAGAGAGAACTTTCAAAGGCAAAGCAGACCCTCTCTGCATTCTCATTCTCTTCAGTAGCATTAGAAACTAGTAAGAAATGCCATATTTGTTTAGCTGTAGAATCACAAGGGTAAACTTTAAGAAATCAACAAGTCTTTATTACCTCTAAGACTCCACCTGTTCTGGTTTTCCCATGCGTGAGTGGAATGATTTCTCTGAAGAGTCCTAGGTTTAGGGATCCTTGCTCCCTGTACCAACAGCAGGCATCTCTATATCAAGATGGCAGCCACAAGAACCCCCTGGACACTTCAGTGACTTTGTAGTGTGTCGATTAGCTAGGCCAACCTACATTTTCCAGAATCTTCTTTCATATATGTTTTCAGTTAGAGTGGGTATATTTTCCCCAGTTCAGATATTTGAAAGGATCTCCTAGGCTCTACAGAGTATACTCACATAAGGCTTTTATTTAAAGGCAACAGGGAATGAAAGAGAATGCAGGGAAGCAGTGTAGGTCTGAAAGGCATTTTGCAGCACAAGGTTTGTCCACAAGGGCCCAATATTTGTGCACACAGACTGCATTGAATCTCTGGATTGAACTGCCAAGATCTGTGCTAGGAATCTTAGCTTCAGGAGAACCCACTGCAGAGAGCTATGTGGCTCTGTAAGTAGGCAAGTCCGGCTACTCAAACCAGTGAGGCTAGGTGCAAACCATCAATAAGGAAGATAACACTGGGGACTGCCAGGGGAGTGTTGGACCTTAAATAGTACATCCCATGTCCCACTGCCCTTATCTTGGTCAGGAGCCAAAAACGAAACATTGAAGTATCCCTGGAAATAAAAATAGAACTTTGCCAGTGATGTGGTTTGGCTTTGTGTCCCCACCCAAATCTCATGTTGAATCGTAATTCCCAGTGTTGGAGGCGGGGCGTGGTGGGAGGTGATTGGATCATGGGGTGGTTTCTAATGGTTTAGCACCACCACCCCAGTGCTGTCTTGTGATAGAGTTCTCATGAGATCTGGTTGTTTGAAAGTGTATAGCACCTCCCCCTTTACTCTCTCTCTCTCTCTCTCTCTCCTGCTTTGCCTTCTGCCATGACTGTAAGTTTCCTGAGGTCTCCCCAGAAGCAGAAGCCTGTGCAACCCACAGAACCGTGAGCTGATTAAACCTCTTTTCTTTTATAAATTAACCAGTGTCAGGTATGTCTTTAAAGCAGTGTGAGAATGGACTAATACAGCCAGTATCTCTATGGTGGAACACAAGAGAGATTCTTGGGAGATTAGAAGGGCAGAGAGAAGCAAGAGTTGTTTTGCAGCTCATACATGTTGCTGATCTGCTGACTCGCCTCATTGGCAGGAAGCCACTGCTGGACCTGCAACTGCTCTATCTTCTCCTGGATCCTCCTTCAGTTTCCGTTTTCTGGGCCAGTCATCTATGTTTAGCTCTATGACAGAAGGCCCCAGCTTCTCCAAGACACCCAAACCACCTACATCAGAGGCAATAAGAAAAGACACGGGTTTTAATTCATCTTTGTGGGACTCCACCTTGTACCTATGGATTCTTAACTTGTTTTTGATCTCCCCACTCTGTGTCCATCCTTCCTTCCCAACTGCATGCACTGTGGACTTAAAGTTACAACACCACATGTGAAGACAATAACCTTCCAGAAGCTACTTAACCTGTTCCCATAGTGATGTAAGGACATATCTCTGTAACAAATCTTTAAAAATATGTGTCTGTCTATCTATCTATCTATCTATCTATCTATCTATCTATCTACCTACCTACCTACCTACCTACCTACCTACCTATCTATCTATCATCTTCCAGTGGCTCTGCTTCTCTGGTTGAGTCCCAACGCCTGGCTGATACAGGTACTCTGCCACCTTCTGGGAGCCTAGCCATTGGCATCTTCCTCCTTCTGTGTTGCAGAAAATGCCAGATGGTGGCCAATTCCCTAGGCTCTGCCTGTATGAACACTGCCATTCCAATTGTAAGCTCCTTCTGACAGTCTCTATTCTGTGTGCAGGTGGAAGGCTGGGCAGGCAGCCCTGTTCTTCACTATGGAGTGGGCTGCACAGACTAGCAGATGCCAGATAGACAGCCCAATAAACTCAGCTAATTTCTCACAAGAGGAAAAATGCCAGAACGACAAGAAATATGCCAAAGTGACAAGAAATAACTGAAGAAGTCCACTAGTCATGAAAAATAGTGATTCTTGGATATCTAATAAACCTTGAGATAAGAGATAAGGTAAGATAACGAGACAGAGATGGGGGTGCCTTGCCATATGGATTTCAGGGCCAACTTCCAGGGCTTCCGTTGGTACTCATAGAATGCCCCAGTGTGCACATAATATAAAGATATATTTTCTCTGGACTCAAACCCAACAGGTGGAGCTTTGCACATCTCTTATCAGAGAGGTTGCAAATTGGCAGCCCGTGGGCTGAAGTTGGCCTGCCAACATGTTTTCTTTGAACCCGTCAGTGTTTTTAAATTTTTTGCCAACTTCCACAAATTGGGGATTTCGCATTAAAAAAAAATTCCCACTTTTCTTGAAAAAAATCAGAAGGTTTGGCAAGTGTAGGCCTTTTTTCCGGCGTGGCAAAAATTGACTGTAGTTGAATAACAGCTGCTCTTGTTAAACAGGGATAGAACTCTCTAGCTCATGCTGTTCCACCCAGCCTGCTTCTCTTGCTTATGTCACCTGCCTAGCTTCTGGAGGCATCTAAGTTTACAAGCACTGGCATTCCCATCTGTAGCAGATGCTGCCTGGCATCCTGCTCATATCCTTTCCCATTGCAGTAGAAACCCAGGCTGGACTTCAAACTGCCAGGATCTGCACCTTTTTGCATGAGGACTTTCTTTGGCAGCCACTCCCTCTCTGGTTGCTCCCCAACAGGCCATAAGTGCACCTTCTCAGCAGTCTTCAACTGATGAGAGTTGGTGTATAAATACCGTAGCTTCCTTCCCGTTGGTTGGAATAACTCTGAGGCACACATATGGTACCCTGATTTTCAGAGTTCTCCAACGCCATTACATTCTAGATACCCACAGTGGTAGCTGACTTGATAACATGACCTTTAAAGGCTGCCTTATCCTCCCTATCTCTCCTCCCCTCTCCTTTACCAGTATTTTTTTTTTACCACCTGAATAAACCACTTGTACATTTTATTGTAGAGTAACAAGAATTCATAGCAGTTATTTTCTGTAAAGTTGCATGAACACTGAATTAGCAAATACTGAACAAGTGTTCCTAGAATAGAGGGTTAGGTTCCTGTGAGCTTCCGGTCACAACATTTTTGTCAGCTAATCAATAGATAACCTTGTTTTAGGTATGTCTATGTTTAAAGACATCTAAATTAATATATATTATTAATTCATTAGCATTGAACTCATGGCCAACAGCACTATGACTTATGCCTAAATGAAGCTCATCTCACACATGAATTTTCCGTGTAAGGCACATTGCAGCCTTCTTTTGCTCAGGAGCACTAGACAGCCTTCAGCACTACATATGGGAACCATTTTAAACATCAAAGTAATCAGTAAAAAGCACAAAAATTGGGAAAACATGGTGCTGTGCAGAACATGAAAAGGACACTTGTTTACAATATGAAACCTGAAACGTGAATGCAGAGTATCACTTTGTTTGACCTTAGCTGAGAACATGTGCATTGAGTAACTCAAATTTTTTGCTGCTCTGTGCATATCCATAATCAACTGTGAAAGTGCCAAGTATATTGATTTTGGAAGTTACAAATTAATTTTAGTGAGTAGGCAAGTTTGTAAATATGAAATCTGTTCACAGTGAGGATCAGCTGTACCCCAGAATCTGCCTCTAGGGGACCTCAAGTGAGGACATTATTAGAAGTGCTTTCTGTTCAAGTAATTTCCTCTTCAAATACTTCAGTATTTTAAATTGAGAAATATACACAACTGGTAAGAAATATAACACAGTGGTTTTCAGGCATTGGCCAGTAGGTAGCAGAGGTAATGATCCCTGAGAGAGAGAAACCAAATGAGGTGAGTCCTGTGATTCACCCAGTGTATTGCCTGTAGGCAGTTACAAGGTCATAGTGCAGGAAGAAGGAAACCAGGTGGAACTTAGTGGTTCCCCTGAGTTGAAGAGACTGAGCTAGAAGTCTGGGGAGGCCAAGGAGGTTACAGTTTGCAGTTCTGAAGAGTAGAGAGGTACACGCAGAGACAGCTCCAGTGATTTGCAGAGTCTTCATATGAGTTCTGATCAGAGCGAACATGTGAAGTAACAACCCAATGTGTGTTCTGGGAAAAGATCCACCTGAAAGGAGCAGAGGGAATAACCCTAAGAGCTCACAGAGAATTAGGGATAGTGTTTCCACCAGTCAAAGTGGAAGACCCTATACTTCATGGGGCATTAGATAGAGTACTCAGAAGGGTCTTGCCTCAGTGGTGGGGAAAAATTGACCCTCAACTAAAGACTGCTGAAAAAATCAAGCTATTTTCCAGTAAGTTAACTATATTCTAGAACAAAACTCAACAATACTTATAGGAAAACAAAAATGTCCAACACTCATCAAGATAAAATTTACGATGTCTGACATCAAATTAAAAATTACCAGGCATGCAAGAATCAGGAAAAAATGACCCATAATGAGGAGAAAAATTAATAGAAACAGACCAAGAAATGATGCAGATGATACAGTTAGTAGACAAGGACATTTAAACTATTATTATATTTTCCACATGTTTGAGAAAGTAGAGGAGACATCGAGCATGTTAAGTAGAGACATGGAAGATATATATATATATAAGATTAAAATAGAACATCTAGAGATAAAGTTAGAATGTCTGAGATGAAAAATACGCTGGATGGGATTAATAGCAAATTAGATACTATAAAAGAAAAGATTAGTTGAATTGAAGACATAGCAGTAAAAACTATTCAAGATTAATTCAGAGAAGAAAAAGATAAATCAGGAGCTTTATTAGAGTATGGCTTCTAGTGGCACATCATTTGAGTCTGTCCCTGGAACTTTATTGACACATGGTGCTTGTGGCCCTTGGGAGGGCACAGAAGGGAAAGCTGGACAAGGCGCTAAGTTTCCTAGATACTGTGTGAAGCAGAAGAAAAAGGCTCCTGCCCAGGCTCAGGCTCCAGATGTCTCAACACTCTCTAACTTTCCTCTTTCAGGCCTTAGAGATTTGGTGGGTAGCTGCTTCTACCTGTTATATTTTAAGAATATATATTTAACTGACAAATAAGAATTGTATGTACACAATGTGAAATTTGATGTACCTATACATTGTCTAACAATCACCACAATCAAATTAATTAAAATATCCATCACCATCCATAGTTATCATTTGTGTGCATGTGTGTGTGTGTGTGTATGTTGAGAACACTTAAAACCTGCTCTTTAATCCAGTTTTAAGTAAACAATGCAGTATTACTAACTATAGCCACCATGCCATACGTTTGATTCCCAGAACATCTTCATTTCATAACTGAAAGTTCATACCCTTGATGAACATCTCCCCCGCACCCACTGCCCCTGGCAACCATTTTTCTACTCTCTGCTTCTATAAGTTCAGCTTTTCAAGATGAGACCACACACTTTTGAAGGATGTTCTTCTGAGGAAATAGGAAAGAATGGCTATGAAGTTTCCTGTCTCCTCAGTTCTTTGCTCTATTTTTGTCCTCCTATAAACATAGTTTTTTTCTGTTTTAAGACTTGCTATTCTTAAAACAGAATAACAAAATAAAGAAGAAATAAATGTCTTAAATATTACACTAAATTTTCATAGCTCTTGTTTCTTTCTTAAAATTTTTTTTAAGAGATGGGGTCTTGCTATGTTGCCCAGATTGCTCTCAAGCTTCTGTCATCAAGCAATTCTCCTGCGTCAGCCTCCCAAGTGCTGGGGTTATGGGCACAAGCCACTGGACCTGTCTTATAGCTTCTGTTTCTATTGGATGCTAAAATATAAAATCAAGGATGAGTTTGCCTTTCTCAGCAACTTCTCTGAGCTTTTGTCTTAGGCCATTTTTAGTGCTATCGCTGAATGCCACAAACTGGGTAATTTATAAAGAACAGAAATTTATTGGCTTACAGTTCTGGAGGTTAGAAAGTCCAATATCAAGGTGCCAGCATGGCAAGGGCACTCTTTCTGCATCAAAACATGGCATCAGGCACCACACAGCAAAGGGCAAAGAGACAGAGAGAGCAAGAAGGGGTGAATCTACTCCCACAATAGGGAACCCTCTGCCATGATAAAAGCTTTGGCTCACTTATGAGGGTAGAGACCACATGATCTCAACACCTCTTAAAGGTTCTATCTTCCAGTTCTGTCACAATGGCAATTAAATTTCAACATGAATTTTGAAGGAGACAAACATTCAGACCATGTGAGCCCCTTCTCAGATATTACTAAATACACCCTGAATAAATGCTGGGGTCCTGCACAAAAGAATATTAAAACCTCAGTAAGACACCACTAACTTTCTTTTAATTATAAACTATTTCAAACATACTGAAAACGATATAGTAGACACCCATATATTTATATTCCAAGTTTTTAAAAGGTTGATAATTTGTTGTATTTGCATCAGAACTTTTAATTAATATTTTGAAGTTACGGATATATACAGATACAAAGAAAGGAGCTAAAGCCTCTTTTGTCCCCTTCTAGTCTCTTCTTTCCCTCCATTCCCAGAATTAATCATCTCCTGAAGGTGTTTTTCTTTTTAAAAATTTTATATATTATCATACATGCTTAATATGGAGTATCATTTTTATTATTATAACATTTACATGAGTAATATCACATTATCCTTTTGCAACTTACTTTTTTCACTCAATATTCTGTTTTAGAAATTTATTTGTGTTGATTTGTGTAGATTTAGTTCATTCATTCTAACTGCTTTATTTTATGATGTTACATGAACATTTAGTAATTTCATGTGTTTTTGCTATTACAGTGCTTCAATGAACATCCTTGTAAATGTCTCCTAGTGAACGTGTACAAAAGTTTCTCCCAGAAGTAGAAATGCTGAGCTATAGAGCGTGTGTGTCCTCAGCATTACTGGGTATTCCCAAAATGTTCATCAAAGGACACCAATGTATACGCCTGGCAACAACATAGAAGCAGTCCCTTTCCCCTACATCTTTAGCTGAATCAGTATTATCAGGTTTAAAAATTTGTCTATATCTAGACTCCCGTTTCTGTTCCATTGATTTGCTTCTCAATTATATGCTAATACCACACTATTTTAATGATTATAGCTTTATAAATCTAGATATCTGCTAAGAGGGATTTACCTCCTTGTTCTTCATAATTATCTTATTTATTCTTGTTATTTTATTCTTTTGTAAGAATTGTAGGATAGATTGCTTGTTGTATTAGTCCGTTTTCTCACTGCTATAAAGAACCTCCCTGAGACTGGATAATTTATAAAGGAAATAGGTTTAATGGACCTACAGTTCCACATGACTGGGGAGGCCTCAGGAAACTTACAATCATGGCAGAAGGGGAAGAGGCACCCTCTTCACAAGGTGGCAGGAGGAAGAAGAGAAAGCAAAGGGGTACAAACCCCTTAGAAACCATCAGATCTCATGAAAACTCACTCGCTATCTTGAAAACAGCATGGGGGAAACCACCTCCATGATCCAATCAACTCCCTCCTCATCCACAGGTGGAGATTACAGGTCCCTCCCTCAACACGTGAGGATTACAATTCGAGATGAGATTCGGATGGGGACACAGAGTCAGAGCCTATCATTGTCAAAATCTATGGAAACTCAGTTAGTATTGGAATGTAATGACAGTGAATTTCTAGATGAACTTGGGAAGAATTGACATCTTTTTCACATCGAGTCTTTCTATCCAGGCTCATGCTATGTCTCTCCAGGTTTACCTTGATTCCTTCAATAAATTTTATAGTTTTCCCATATATTGTGTGGGATTTATTACCAGGCAGTTAGAATTTTTGTTGCTGAAATGCCACTTTTCATTTACCAGAAAGGTGAAGATCAAAAAGATTAATAACACTCTCCACTGGTAAGATTATAGGAAAATGGACAATCTCATATTTTATTAGTGTAAGTGTAAATTAATACAACCTCTTTGGAGTATAATTTTTAATAGTTCTAAACTTTTTAATGCATACATTATTTGAGACATTTCATTTCTAGAAATTATTCACAAATATATGCACAAATATGTAAAATTTTTTGTGCATGATATTAAGGCAGTATAATTCTACAAGTATAAAATTGGCCACAACCTAAATGTGCATCAGTAGAAGCTTGGCTAAATCTATCATTGATTAGTTGATCTGTTCAATAAGATTATGCAACCATTAAATAGAATGAGGCAGCTTTATAAATACTTATATGAAAAAATATGCAAGATTTTATTTTTTTTCTTTTTTCTGTTTGCTTTAGATTTACTTTGCTCTTCTTTTTCCAGTGTCTTAAGGAAGTAGGTTAGGTTATTGATTAGAAATCTTTCTGCTTTTTTAATATAAGCATTTGCATCTATAAATTTCCCTGTAATACTGCTTTAGCCACATTCCTTAAGTTTTAGCATGTTGTGTCTTCGTTTTCATTTATTTCAAAGTATTCTCTAGGTTCTCATGTGATTTCTTCTTTGACCCATTAGTTATTTGGAGTATGTTGTTTAGTTCTCAAATATTTGTGAATTTCTCAAATTTCTTTCCAGTGTTGATTTCAATTTCATTCTATTTTGGTTAGAGAACACACTTTGTATAATTTAAATCCTTTTAGAGTTACTGAGGATTGTTTAGTGGTTTAGCAGATAATATCTCCTGGAGACCATTCCATGTGCACTTGAGTACAATGTATTTTACTATTAATGCGTGGAAGAAAGGAACACCTCTTAAAATCTCCTTATTTTCATATCATACTGCCTCTTCCCTACAGTTATTTCAAAGCATCTCACACTCTAAGCTTGAACTCTCTTCCTCTCATGCTCAGTCCATAAGGTGTTCTTTGTTTTTCTCCTTCTTCATCCTCCCTCTTACCTCTTTATTATGTAATCAACTTAGCCTCTCCTATGATGGCTTCTCCTCCTCTTCTTCCGTTTCCTCCTTCTCTTTGTTCTCTAGGTTTTCATTATTCAGATTCTCCTAGAACAAAATGGAACCTGAGAACTGACCCCAACGTAAGAATTCACCCCCTTTCCCCATGCCTCTTTAATCTCTCTTTACCCATTTTTGCAATCTGCATTGCAAAAAGTACAGGAACCAGCCTGGCAAGGAGATAACTCTCAATACGATCAGAACACTAGGGTTAAAATGAGCTGGTGAAGACAAATTTTCCTTCTACATCCACCTTCCATGGATCACAGACCCCATGGGAGATCCTTGTAAACAAAGTCTTAATCAACCATAGCAGGATTATCCTCCTGCCTCAAAGTCTCCCACTGTAAATTCCTTCTCAGCCCTCTGTGTACCTAATGGAACCAAATGTGAAGCTTTGATGGTGGCAACCTCAAAGTTGGAATCAATTTAGCTTAATTCATTATTGATATTCTACTAAAAAGCCCCTTTGAAGTCACAGCATCAGCAGATGCCAAAAACATAAGATCCCGTACAGCTCTCTAAGCTCTTACAGCCTATGGAGAGGTGGAAAGGTAATTGCACTTTTGTTGAACAAAGACTTAGAAAAAATATCAGATATTTATATTTTATCTTTCTCATATTAACCCAGATATTTGTACACATCTCTGTGATTGCTCTCAGAACATTATATAACTATAATTATGTGTGGGCCTTACTGGCTATATCTTATTCGTCTTTTTATTTCTTTGCTAAGCACTATGCATGGCACATAGTAGATATTCAATAAACATTTGCAGAATGAATGGAGACAACACAATAATAAATACACCCAGTAGGGCTTCACAGTGCTTTTCCAAAAGAATATTTTTAGGTACTGAAAGCCCAATATATTGGTAACATAACTCAAAATCTATCCCAAGCCCTGCGTTATTTTTTTTTCAGGTATAGTCCCAAAAGTTCAGTGGCATTTTCAATCCCTTCAATCCTACTTCCAGCCAGTGTAATTACTGGCAAAGCCTATTTCAAATGAGTGCTACAGATGCACATGTGTGCTCACACACACACACACATGCACACCCACATACACACACACACACAAGCCACATATGTTCTAATCTGAGCATAGAGGATGGTGCACTCACCCGGCCTCCTACACCAGGAGTGGACCTTTATTGTCAGAATTAGAGGGATAATGGAGGACAGAGATGCACGTGTCTCCTAAACCTCTCAGACCTTCAAAGACACCTGGACCTCAAATTAGGGGATAAGATTTTTGAGGTACTTATATATTTTGTTCTCATAATTTCTTCTGTACCCTAGCCTTTTCCTTATTCTGATAACTAGCATTACTGGTCTTCATTGCTTCCAGGACAGAACGGCATTGCAGAATGCTGACAGCATTCTATCAGAATTGAATGCTTGGCTTTTGAGGTTCAGAACACTAGATCAGGACATAAATAAAAAGTTGATAAGAATACCTGAAGAGCAACAACAGAGCCTCCTGGTTCTGTGCAAGGGCCAGAAGTTCCCTGAGCAGAGTCTGTTGAGAGTGAGACTATGGCATCAACAGTGTCTCATGCCACCCAGGGAGGGCTCATGTGGCCAGCTTTAGGGTGGTTACAATAAGAATTTTGTCTCTAGTTCAGTAGAACAAGAGAATCATTGGTGGCTGAAAAGATGCAAGAAATAAGGAGAGAATTTCTCTGGCAGTGTCCTCAACATGAAACTGAAAGGCACACCACCTAAATTTTTTGGTAGTCATTCTTCCAGTACATTTCCCCCTAGGAGCTGGCAGGAGCTTTCTGAGGTTTCGTTTCTAGGCTCAGGAAGATGTTGATTTGGGTCATGGCCATTGTCCACATCTAGGTCATTCCAGAAGGCACTGTTAGGTGTACTGTTGCATCCCCAACCTCCTAGCAGGCTGGATCCACATGGGGTGAGTGTAGTGTCATTACCTCCCTCCCAGTGTGACACTCACCTGGCATTAGTGAGCAGTCTACTGAGCAAAAGAGGTAGTTTCCTGAAAAATTGTCCTTAGAAGAAAAAGTAGAATTGAGTGATTAGAATCAATCCTAGAATCTTGCTAGAGTCACTGAGACTAACTGGATTTTTACAACAGGTTGACTTTATAATGTCAGGCATGACTTTGATTTACCCTTTAGCATATTATTGTAGGCATAATACAGAATATGTTGAAGAATGTTTGACTTCTGTTAGGACTTTAAATCTAAGAGAGTACTAATTACATAATTACATACTTTACGGCACAGAATATAGATCAGAAAACTTGTCATAGTCCGATTTATATTAAAAAAAGTAGAAATAACCTTGCTGAATACCATAGGAAGTTATTTATTTCACCAATTAATTTACTCCACAAGTATAAATAAAAAAAGAAGAGATAAATTATTTATTTTGGTTGATACCTGTGTCTTAGTTTGGGTTCCCCTGAAAGCAGACTCTGAGATAAAAGCTTGGATGTAGACGGCTTATTTAGAAGAGAACCCAAGAAGTGCAAGTATGGATGGAGGGGAGAGTAAGAAAGAGACAGTGAATAAAGGATGCACAGATGAGCGGGTTACCACTGTGGACAACTGGGTCCTCAGTCCTGCCAGGAACTCTAGAAATCCTAGAACTCTAGGAATTCTGGAGAATTATGTAAACTCTATCTCAGAATAGTGCCACCAAGGCTATTCACTATTACCCACCATTACCTACTGAAATATTTATCCACCAGTTTCCTTTTCTTAAGGATTGAAGTTGTTTCTGAAGTTAAATCCCTAGCACTTCTGGCCTGCTCTGCATGAAAGGTGAGCCGATCCCTCATGCTGGGGAAGCCCTCAGGCAGAGAGATGCAGGCCCTGGAGGTGGGAAGCTATTTCTGCACACAGTTACTGTCTGTCTGCAGCTGCACGTGAACTCACAGCTGGGGCAGAGGGAATAGAGAGCAGTGCATCTGCCACGGCTGCTGCAATCTCTTTGGGAATTGGAACATTTCTAAATTCCTGTATATATCTTTTAAGTACCCTCTGCCAGGAGAGAAATTGTTGAAGGGAAAGCAAAGAGGCTTTGGATTCTGGTGGGTTCCTGAAAAGTATCCTAAACTCGTCCCCTAAGCCAAGTCCCAGGACAGACATGATATAGGGAGGTAATTAACAGAAACCCTCAATAGTGTCCC